TGGGAGCAACACCGAGGGTTGCGATCCCGTTGCCGGTCCCGGTCCGGTACGGGGGCGACACTGAGGGTTGCGAACCGTTGCCGGACACGGAAAAAGACAAAAAAAAAAATAAAAATAAAAATAAATGTCCTAGAGCTCTCATCTTTAAGAGATACCAATTTGTTAACTTTATTCAATAGATGTAACTAAACTGATACATTTCATATTTCTTAAAAAGTTTCATTTAATTAGATTTTAGAAATTGAATATTATTGCCTTACAACTAAAGGTATACTTTGAGATACTTGGCTTACTTTCTAATTGATTTTAGTTTGGCTGAGGTTCATCAAACTTTTAAAGTTTCCCTGCACCACACCAAGTTTCCCACCCCTAATCATAAGTGAATGATTGGCATCCAAACACTTAACCACATGTGGGTATTTATTATTTAAAGGAATACAACAGAAATCCTTTTTATGAATTAAATAAACCTGTAACACTAAAAAAGATTGATTTATTTTTAAGTTAAAATTTTTGTCATTTTCTTCCATTAGAGTACATTGCTAATTGCTATTTTACTTGTAGCATTTTTATCTCAACTGTTGTAAAATGTGCCTACTGCCGGGCAGTTGTACAACATTTTTTAAACGGTTAAATCCAGCCAATATTTGAATTTTTAAAATGTAGTCCTCTTATGTCTAGTTTGCTATCACTTGAATGATTGATGGCTAAGATGGCAATATCGAGTCTTTAGATAGCAACTAGTTTTCATTGTTATTAAAATATTCATTTTAATCAGTGCACATTGGATTATAGTTTTGATGGTGTTTTCATAATCTTCTTTATGCAGAGAAAAGTAGAACAGGCCCCTGTTAAATGAAGACTCACCCTCATTTTTTTGCTTGGCGTTATGTCCTGGACACAAATCATAGAAGAACAAAGCTAAGGTTTCTTAGACAGCATTGTGGTGAAATAGCTTAAAAGGAAACAATTAAATGACTATTTTGGTATATAAATGACACGATCATAGCTAGTTGATATTTTTTCATTTTGTTAGCTTATTTTCATTTTATCTTTCTGAAAAAAATGAGAGAATCAGGGTCTAAGTACTTGAGAGTCATGAAATTGGAGTACTGGGTACAAAAAAAAGGGATGTCAAATTCTTTTGTAAAAGTGTGATGCACGTATAAGGTGTTCTCATTAGTGCTTACCAGAAAAATCAGGTAATGTATCATTTTACAAGCTGGTGAAAAAGTGTGTAAATACAAATGTGATGCAAGGGAAGATTTTTGAGGAAATACTTTCCCTTAATTATTTTTTTGGGAGAAGGAGTGTTTATTTTTTAGTGTTTCTGGAGAAGCTGAAAAATAGTCTATTTTAAACTTGATGTAGTAGTTCCAAGTATACATGGTTCCCTGTGGAGCACTGGTTTGCCAAAACTGCTAGCTTAATAAGACAGATTAAAAAGCACTCTTCTATCTAGCTACAGAGACATGTCTACAAATCACTGCAGAAATCCTTGAAAGAGTTCTTATACAGTATACAGTTGTTTACAGAATTCTTAGAGTTACAGAAAAAAAGTGCCCTCGAGTCGCTATGAATTTAATTTCCACCTGGAAAACATCAACTACTATATGAGAGGTGGTAACATTCTGTCTAAAATGATAGAAAATGGGGTTTTGGTTGGGGCATTATAAAACAACAGTCTTTTAGAGATTTTTAGCTACGATTCTAGAAAGTAACACTACTATGAGAGGTGGTAACATTCTGTCTAAAATGATAGAAAATGGGGTTTTGGTTGGGGCATTATTTTTTTTATTTTATTTTATTTTTTATTTTTATTTTTATTTTTTGTCTTTTTGTCTTTTTTCCATGTCCGGCAACGGATCGCAACCCTCAGTGTTGCCCAAAATGTTAAAGGTGGCATTAATTCTGAATTTGTTATTAGTCTCATTTGCTAGGTTGAGCATTTTGGGCTATTTCTACTGTGAAGTTCTATCTTACTTAGCATTTTTTTTCTAACTTTAAGGAAAATGATAATAGTAAATTACTTCTGTAGTCTGTGACTTCAGTTGTACTGGTTATTGAAGCAAGTTCTCCATGTTCTTAACATTTAGCATTCATTGCATCTCTCCCCATTACATGAATTTTTAGCCTTGCCACTTAATGCAATTGTAGTGATAATAGATAATAGTTATAATTTTTTTGCATATTTGTCCTTTCAGTTTTTGCTTTCCAGCTTAATTCTGGGGTGGTTTGTCCTATATATCAGAAGTAACTTTATAATTTTATTGTTTCTGTATTCAGTTGCATTATTATTATAAAAATTAAAATTAGCCTAAACAGTTACATCACTAGTTAGATTTTTTTGCAGATAGAGTTCTTTTCTGGTAACTGAAATCTTAAAAATGTATTCCAACTTTATGAAAGATAAAACTAACTTGATTTAAAAATTGATTTTATGTTCAAGAGTTGTTTAATACTTGTGTGCCTAACACAATCCATGGCCCACAGTGCTAACTTAGTAATGGTTTTTAAATATTTTAAATAGGAAAACTAATTTTTACATTGATTTGTTTTGGATTTGTGGTGCAATACTGACATTTAAAAAAAATTCTACCTGAGAAGTGTGCGCTGTGATACCAGAGTACTAATTGCATTTCCAAGAGCAAAAAAAACGAATAATTCTTTCAACAACGATCCTACAATGACAAACAAGCAACAACAGGTTAGAGACTCCTGAGAGCACCCAAGCCCTGCCGCGGGAACGAGCGAGCAGCCCAGACAA